TTCATTAGAGGTACATTCCGCTATAATCGGATGGCGGAGAAACGAGCAGGAACTGGTAAGCCGGTCCTTTCCTCATTAGTGCGCCCCTCCTCTTAACACGGTAAAGAGCGGGAAAGCACCAATGAGGAAGACAGCAGCCGGGGGTCCCTGCCCACTGATTATCTCGGAATGTGTTACAAAACACGACTGCTATCAACCAATAAAATGACATATAGCCCCAGTCTGCTACCGATTTAGAGCCCATCAAACAGCGTACCTGGCAAATCTGGCAAAATATCGGGAAGGTCGAGATCCTCGATAGGGCCCAGTTCGGGGACATAATCCAAGGGGTCTCTCTCCTGGGTACGACCTCCACCTATCGCAGAAGCTTCGACCACGTTGACATCGACACTGAAATCTTCACACTCTAGAACCAGTACCATGAATTAGAAGAAATTTCCTTCTGCAGCATTTGTCTCGCTCTGTAACGAGGTCTAACGGGCGGTATATCGCTTTGCTGGCATGAAACGAACAGGTCCGGAGAATTCGTACAGAGAAAATGCCAGCTTCTTATTTTGGGTGTTGTCCATGGTTTTTTTGCTTTTTTTCTCCACTATAGTCACTTAGCGAATTTAGGCTCGTAACTGAGCGCCACTATATTTAATCACCGAGTTCGTCTTCAAGACAGACATTGCAATGGCTGGAAACTCATAATGCAGGAATACAAGCTTTTCTTACAGAAACGATCCGCTTCTGTGGCTAGAACAGAACTAATAATTCAAACTACTCACCTCGAAGTAGTATCACTTTTTCCATGACTGACAAAGCCAATACGTTTTGATGACCTTTTTCCGTATGCCAGTTCATCGGTGTCACAGTAGAACATATCGGCGAAGGACATTATCTTTGATGGTAACTGTCTCTCTGAACATTTTCCGATTATATTGGATTCAAGTTCTACGGAGCTTTTGAACTCACCCTTTCGAGGTTCTTGCGGATTTTTGTTCATCAAATGGCTTGGTAGGTAGAACCGTTTTCGCTCGTCCAACTCCCGACGCATGTCTACGACACGCTGTGGTTGATGTTTTGGCTTGAATACAACTGGAAAAAATGGATGCCAGTCGAAAAGATTTTTCGTTCCACATTATGAAGTTCAGAAAAACCAATCAACCGAAAAATTGAATGTTTTTATTCCAAGAAGCTTTTATTCAGGCGAAACACTCACCATTTGCTGGTTTATCTGTGTCGGGAGTCAGATCTCGAGCAGGGCTATACTCACAGGTGGGAAATTGTGAAAGGCACGTAAGTACACCCGATGTGTTCATCTGAATGCGATGGAATGAAGCACAAGCATGACACTCAAAGACAGCTCGCGGTTGCACTGCACACTGGGATGGTGGTGTTCAGTTGCGGACTTATAGTCGCTAAGGCATTGTTCACAGTCTGCGACCCTGACGAAACGGCGGTTGGGAGAAAAGCAAAAAATAGTCATCGATCGGAGAATCGCCAACCGCTAGTTTCGCCGAACCGCCGCGGTTCGGCGGTTGGGCGAAAAGCAATAGATGTGTGTCAATAGCAATAGATGGTATTGATTTTCGCTGTCGACAAAACGCGCTCGAGCTATGCGTTTCGTGAAGGTCGCGTTTGCGAATACACACCGTCGTTCGTTATCAAAACCCCTTTCGCCCAACCGTCCACATCTTCGCGCCACTGGCCATAGATTTTAAAATTTCTGCCCGCGTTGCCAGAGAAACCTAGACCGCAGACTGTGAACAATGCCTAAGTGACCCTCCAGGAAAAAAAAAGCAGAAAACATGGAAGACATCTTGAAAAAAGGGACCTGGCAACTTCTTTGGAAGAGTACTCCTGACCTGCTCGCCCAGGAAATAGACTTTCCGTTTTGATGGCCGAGGGACTAGGGGGACGGCAAAAGTGCCACTTATGAGGGCCACAGCGCGTTCATTACTTAACGCGAAGCCGCGAAAGTGGGATAATCTGTGGGACCGAGAACCAGACTACTAGTACAAGAGTGACGCTTACGAATTGTTTAAGCGCGAGACTTTCTTCGAGGGAAACAGATTCAAATATTACTGGCACTTCATAGCCTTTTTCTCTTGTGCTATGAGAAAGGTTGAACTACCCTTGATTTTGGGGCAGTTAGTTCCATTAGGCGCACTTTGGCTTTGGGAGGGGGGGGGGGGTCACTTCCCTTCGCCGTGCCATTGCTCCACAAGGGGTAACTGGTGGTCTATACGTACCTTGACTGACTGGTATCACTTGACAGCCTCACGAAATTCCACGGATCTTTACTTGATGGACGATGGAAAAACAAATGCGCAAGATGTCGCCCCCCTCCCCTCCTTCCCACTCCCCCCCCAAGCAGAACTGCGCCTTCCATTACTGTGCTAATCACTACTGAAGAGATACACTCACTTGACGTAGGTGTGAGACCTTCCGTTGCACGCGCTTCAATCGTGTATCCAGACTTCTGTAGGTGGCATTTAACTCCTCCGTCCGTGAGGAAATACGATCGAAAAGCGAATCAGCTGTCTGAAACACTGATAAGTCTAAAAGTCGGGAAGAATTCAAAAATCGTTTAAGGCAAACCTGCTGAAACGTCCGCAGATGTGCGAGAATACGAAAAATGGCCTCATCTTGATCGAGATCGGCTGGAGGAAGAAGTATCATCCAGTACTGCTGGGGAAAAAATGAAAATAATAAAAAAAACTTAAAGCTCTACGTAAAAGAAAGAGATTAAACAAGTATGAAGTTGCTTTACAGCAATAACTTCAATGAGAGCCCGTTATCAATTGGTTCATATTTATTACATTAAAACAACAGTACATACATGTTGAGCTATCACTTCAATGTATATCAGCTGTGAAACATGGCAATTGATAATTCAGATCGGGTTCAATAAACGTGTATGACTGGTTTAGAAACAATAAATTAAGAGTTATTAGCTTTAAGAATCTGCTCATATACATGTCTTGAAACATTCAACGATGCGTTAATCGGTGCCAGACCCGGTTCTCGTAAAAGGGAAAATGCCGCTATTGAGAAGTAAGTGTGTAGTAGATCTGAAACGGACAGTAACTGTACCACCAAAAGGTAAACAAAGAATGGGAAGAAGAGTCAACGCTCGCTCCAAAAACCTCCCGTAAGAACCTAGTCATCCCCAACCGCAAATGAAAACAGAATAAGTTAAGCTAGTCTTATCTAGGAAACAAACATACCAGGGAATCCTGAGGCTTCTGGAATCTTGCAAAACCCGCCCATGTATTGATGTTGTGCGATTAAAAGAAACGATCGCAGCTTGTCTTTGTCCATTAGATGATTCGCATTCAAAATCTGATAGTGACATGGATAAATGAGAGAATGAGTCCCGGGAGCTCACCAACCAGAGAAGGCTGGCGGGGGAGAACGCTCAAAATGAGAAGTATACCCACTGATGTGCCTTCGGATAAAGATTACAAGTCCCTCCTCTAAATTCATTGCGGACCTCTCTTAAAACGTTATGGAAGTTTTTTGAAGGAGCAGACCTACGCTCAGTACAAATCTCAGGCGTAAGGAGTCTTCACTGTACTTCAACAACTAGATAACTAGTACCAAATCTGCAGTTCGATTGTCATTTAATGCTATTCGTCAATAATTCAAAGCAGCTTTACGTCCGAGATTCTTTTTTGTGAATATGCTCCTCCTACAAAGACTTCCGTTATTTCGTTCGGAGAGGTCCGCGTATACCTTGCAACTAGGGCATAAGCTACTTGTACTTATGGACGTAGATCACAATATTCAGTGCAAGAGGAGTGAACCATCTCTTCATACTCAAGAACCACTCAGATTAGCGATCCTCATCTCACCAAAGAAATATAAAGAACTATGAGAGATTAATACTCCCATTTCACACACTTAACTCTTCTAGAGATTGAATCTTCTGGAATGCACATGATTTAGCCCTCAGCGCCTCGCGCAACAATAGTTGCCCAACTAGGGCACATCGTTGTTGGGGAATCCCCAACAGGGGGTCGTATTTGGCCGCCAGGAGAGGGGGGTCGTATTTGGGCTGAGAAAAATTTATTTTGATAGTTGATTTTTCTCGCTTCACGGACGTTGTAAAAGGGGGGTCGTACTTGCTCATTGTTGGGAGGGGGGGTCGTATTCACGTTCTGGCCTTTCTAGGAGTGTGGTTGACTTTCGTGAATTTTCCGCCCTGTAATCATGTGTACCATATACCCTCCTCAACAGCAAAAATTTTTTGGGAAGAAAGTAGGGATTTTGAGCATTCGGAAAAATGAGGGGAAGTGGGGAAAACCTTCTGAGAATTGGTAGGATGTATTGTCTCGCGGCTTTTCCTGTTTCACATGTGCTACCTACCCCCCTCCTGGGTTCGAGGTTCGATTCGATGAAGAGGGATAGAGGGCCCGAAAGGGGGGGGGGGGGCGGTCGTACCGAACCCCAAGAAAAGGGGAAAGGGGGTCGCTAACGAACTCCGACAAAAAAATGGTGGGAACCATGTGGCATGTGCTCAACTAAACAGACTGAAAAGAAAGTGCTGTAGGGAATAAACCTATATATGGGCATTCCTCCGTCCATTTGACCGCACAAACGTAGTGGTATTTTGAGTGCCACTTGGCCTCTATGAATGTGCGATCTTGCGGTACTTGTTAGGGTACGATTAAAGTGTTGTGTTTAGTATCGGTCTAACTGTCCCAAAGGAATCAGGTGGGCGCACGTGGAAGGCTACTCCACTTATTACTGCGCCACCTTAGCACAGGTACAGAGCTTATAACCCAAGGTTCGTTACACGCTAGTTCGCTGCGGACGCTTGGGCGTGTCAGGCAGTATGAGTGTGTCACGCCGTCAAAGCCGTTCTCTGCCTTCTTGTTGAAGCGCGCATGCGACAAAAAGTGGTAGAAAACGAACGATATGATACAGTCATATCATTTGCTCGCTTTAACAACTGGTGGAGAACGGGTTTGGCACCGCGCCAAACTCATCCCGCCTGACACGCCCAACCGTCCGCAGCGAAGTACACTTTAGCAACATTGACTGGAACGTTCTAAAAAATCACCTCTAAAGTGGCTCCTATCCAAAATGCATAACAACTGTCGTCTGGTTTATGAGCCCTTCCATGGAAACCTTCATCCTGCTTCCATAGCGCCCATTTCACAAGCCTGTCAATTTCTCGCCTTGACAATACTGAACCATCCCACAGGCAGTTTGCCAGCGAAAGTGATGCAATCGCACAGAACGTTGAACCACCTGTAATATAACAAATTTACGGGGCTGCTACATTACAGGTCCATACTACTCCAGGAGATGAGTTCACTGGTACAAATAAGTACGGGGAGAATTATGTATAGCACCACCCTTTATGCGATTATTACCATCAACGATGTATGGGTGATGATTACAGAAACTTTAATTGTAAGGCATACAGTCGAGGAAAAAAAGAGAAAAAAGAAGGAAAGTAATGAAAAAGGACGCAGTTCGGCAACTTGGAAGGGGGGGGGGGCATTTTGCCCTTTCGCTGCTTTTGTAAAGCAACGTACACGACAATCACATGCAGAGAAAGTGCGAAATCCCCCCACGTCGCCAAACTGCGCCTCGAAAAAGAGAACGTGACTTACCATGACTTTCATCTCCTGGACCTTGTCCAATTCCACCGTCATAATTGAGACTATTTCGTATAAAATTTCTCATCGAACCAAAATCAATAAAGGAAAAATCCCGTAGAATATGACATATAGCAACAGCACAGAAAACAAATCGCATGTCACTTTCAGAATCATATCCCTCGCTCCAGAAGCTGAAAATGATACGTTGATTCATTTGGAGAGGCCAAGAGGGTGGCTACGTTGAGCGTACCTTCCATCTTTCTTCTGTGATTTTTGGAGGGTCCTCAATAATGCCTCTTTATCCACACGTTTAAAGTCATCGCCGAGTATAGCTAGACATAGAAGAGCACTGAAACGAATTCCATATGAAAGGAGCATAACTCTCTTCTTCGAAAACGAAACCTTGTAGGTGCCGTACAGGCACGCAGTTCCATACATTACTTGTCAGGAAATGGATAACGTGCCACTGACGTCACATAACACCCTAATAACGTGTCATGAAACGTCACTGACCACGATATAATACAGATTTGCTTACGGGTAACGTGTTCAGTAACGTCAGCGAAACGCCATCTTCTAACACGTTTATAAAATGCCATCTCTTAACTTGATGAGGTATGGACCTATACTAAATTGGGCACTGTTCGGCTAGGGGGGGGGGGCATTTTCGCTTTTATTTTGAG